TTGTTCGCCGCGGTGCGGGAGGTCGGCAGCACCACTTGGTAACGCCGACTCGCACTGACTATGGAGAGTGGTCGGTGACGATAAAGGTCAAGCTCAGAGCCCGACGGCTCTTGAATGCTGTTGATAAGGGCACCGAAAATGAGAAAGATGACATGTCAGCGTTGGAGGCTATCCTCGCTGCAGTACCGGCGGAGTACAGAGAGCCGTTGGGGGCGAAGAGCTCTGCTAAGGAGGCGTGGGAGGCTATTACAGCGATGCGCGTCGGTTCCGACCGCGTAAAGAAGGCGATGGCCCAGCTTCTAAAGCAGGAGTACGCCAACCTCAAGTTCAAGGATGGTGAAACAGTGGAGGACTTCTCCCTCCGCCTGCAGACGCTCATCAGCAAGCTGAAGAGCCATGGCGTCACCATCGACGAAGAGGATGCGGTCTCCAAGTACCTCCACTCCGTGCCGGCAAAGTACATCCAGATCGTTCTCTCCATAGAGACGATGTTGGACTTGTTCACCCTCACCATTGAGGATGTGATAGGCCGTCTGCGGGCGGTGGATGAGCGCCTGAAGCAGACGACAACAACGAAGAATAGTGGGAAACTCCTGCTGACGGAAGAGGAGTGGGCTGCTCAGAGAAACTTCGGGAAGGCAGCCTCCTCCAGGCGTGGTGGCAATGGCAACCGCCGCAGTAGGGCTTCTTCGGAGAAGAAGAAGCGGGTCGACCCCAACGCCTGTCGACGCTGCGGGAAGATGGGCCATTGGGCATGGAAATGCCCAAACCGCAAGCAGAAAAAGAAGGCTCAGGCTCATCTGGCGCAAGCCAATGATGAGGATGAGACCACTATCCTGATGGCGACATTCTGTGCACTACATGACGTCGAGGCCGAGGAGATGGAAGAGGCGACGACGGTGGATGGACCTAGAAAGGCCCTAAAGTCCGTCAACCTCGACGAATCACGCGCCCAAGTCTACCTCGGACGTGTGGGCGTCGACCAGGAGCAGCGGTGGTATCTGAACTCTAGTGCCAGCAACCACATAACGGGCTCCAAGGCATCCTTCTCTGAGCTCGACGATGATGTTACCGGTACGATGAAGTTTAGTGACGGCTCAAGGGTGGCTATCCAAGGGCGCGGCACCATCATCTTCAGGTGCCAGAATGAGGAGCACCGCGCTCTAATGGATATATATTACATCCCACAGCTGCATTCCAGCATCTTCAGCATTGGTCAGCTAGATGAGCGCGGTAGCGAGGAACTGATCAAGGACGGAGTCCTTAGGATCAGGGACCGGGAGCAGTGACTTCTCGCCAAGGTGAAAAGGTCCCTAAACTGGTTGTACCTGCTTGACCTGAAGGTAGAGCAGCCGGTGTGCCTAGCGGCAAGGCACACCGAGGAACCGTGGATGTGGCATGCCCGGTTCGGATATCTCAACTTCGACGTGCTTGGTCGGCTAGAGAAGATGGTCCGAGGGCTATCCCACATCAAGCACGGAGGTAAGCTATGTGACAGCTGCCTGGTCGGGAAGCAAAGGAGGCTACCATTCCCAAAGGCGGCCAAGTATCGCGCGAAGGACGCTCTCGAGCTCGTCCACGGCGACCTCTACGGGCCGATCACGCCTGCTACAAACGGTGGTCGGCGGTACTTCCTCCTGCTCGTAGATGATTGCAGTTGCTACATGTGGCTGAAACTCCTGACAAGCAACGATGAAGCGGCGGCGGCGATCAAGAAGTTCAAGATGCGCACGGAGGCCGAGAGCGGCAAGAAGCTCCGCGTGCTGAGAACTAATCGCAGCGACGAATTCACTTTGGTGGAGAACTGATCGCGGATTAGGGTGTGGTGTGACACCACACCGCGTCGTACTCGCCACAACAAAATGGCGTGGTGGAGAGGTGGAACCAGACGGTGGTCGCCATGGCTCGATCCTTGATGAAGGCCAAAGGCATGCCGGCAAGATTCTGGGGTGAGGCGGTGACAACGGTGGTGTTCATCCTCGACCGGTCTCCGACCAAGGCCCTGACAGGCAAGACACCGTTTGAAGCTTGGTATGGGCGTAAGCCGAGCATGTCATTCATCCGGACATTTGGCTGCATCGACCACATTAGGAAGACGAAGCTGAACCTCACCAAGCTGGAGGACAGGAGCACACCCATGGTGTTCCTAGGCTACGCGGAGGGTACCAAGGCGTACCAGCTCTACGACCCACGCGAAGACAAGGTGCTTGTCTCACGCGACATCATGTTCGACGAGAAGGCGGCTTGAGACTGGAGCAGTCTGAGCATGGGGGAAGCTAGCGGCTTCACCAGCACCTCATCGTCGAGCACTTGGTCATCCACGGTGGTGAAGACGCTGGGGAAGAGGTGCCGAGCACTCCGGGAGGGGTGCCGAGCACTCCAGCGGTAGAGCCGAGCACTACTGGGGAAGTGCCGAGCACTTCGGGAGGGATGCCGAGCACTCCGGGAGGAGTGCCGAGCACTCCTGGAGGGATGCTGAGCACACCAGGAGTGGTGCCATGAGGTTCTGTAGTGGTGGCGACCACTCCAAGACAGGTGTCGAGCACTCCCGCGACGAAGCCAAGAAGTCTTGCAGTGGTGCCGACCACTCCAAGACTGAGGTTGAGCACTCCTACAGTGTGGCCGAACACTGCAGGAGTAATGACGAGCTGTCCAAAAGTAGTGCCGAGCACTGCAACTAGGGTGCCGAGCACTCAAGGTGTATGCCGAGCACTCCGGCAGAACAAGAAACTCCATCGACGTCGATCGAGTTCGCCTCACCTCCAAGTGATATCATTGAGTTCGTGGATGCCTTCCACGAAGGTGAGGAGGTGTGGTTTCGCAGGCTAGACAACATCGTTGGTGGCACAGGGCCCTCAGGACTAGCGGGTAGGCTGCTCAATGACGCAGAGCTGCTGCTCGTCGGTGCGGAGGAACCACCCACATTCGCGCTAGCCAAGCGGGACGGAAACTGGCGACGGGCGATGCTGGAGGAGATGAAGGCGATCGAGAAAAAGGAGACTTGGCAGCTCATCGATCCACCTCCAGGATGCCGTCCGATCAGCCTGAAGTTGGTGTACAATGTCAAGCAGGACGAGCTCAGCGCCATTGTCAAGCACAAGGCGGGGTCTCGTCGCCCGAGACTTTGTTCAGCGCAAGGGCATAGACTTCGAGGAGATCTTTGCGCTAGTAGCGCGCATGGAGTCGGTCCATTTGCTACTAGCTTTGGCAGCAGCAAAGGACTGGCGCGTCCATCACTTGGACGTTAAATCGGCCTTCCTCAATGGCGAGCTGGCGGAGACGGTCTTCGTTAGGCATCCTCCAGGTTTCGTCGTCAAGGGAGAGGAGCACAGGGTGCTCCGACTGCGCAAGGTTTTCTATGGGCTGCGGCATGCCCCACAAGCATAGAACGCCAAGCTTGATGCCACGCTAGGCGAGCTTGGGTTTCAACGGTGCGCAACCGAGCACGCGCTCTACATGCGGCGATGGGGGAAGGAGGAGCGGCTTAAGCTGACGAAGGCCAGCACCGCGGCGAAGGTGGATGCAACACTCTATCGGGGCATCGTCGACGGTTTGCGCTACCTAGTCCACACGAGGCCGGACACTACATTTGTCGTGGGCTACGTCAGTCGCTTCATGGAGGATCCCAGAGAGGATCACAGGGCTGTGGTGAAGCGGCTACTGCGCTACGTCAATGGGACGATGGATCAAGGGATCATCTTTCCCAAGATCGGTGGGAGTAGGCTGTAGCTCACTGTGTTCAGCGATGCAGACATGGCGGGGGACATCGACGGACGATGGAGCACCTCTAACGTGCTCATCTTTCTCGGGTCGGCTCCAATTTCATGGCTGTCGCTGAAACAGAAGGTGGTGGCGTTGTCTACGTATGAGGCAGAGTACGTAGCGGCGGACACAGCGACGTGCCAAGTTGTGTGGCTGCGCCGGCTGTTGGGCGAGCTAACCGGCGTGGAAGCTCACCCACCAGCACTGATGGTGGACAACCAGCCCGCCATCGCCCTCGCGAAGAATCCGGTTCTGTACGACCAGAGCAAACACATCGACGTGAAGTTCCACTTCCTCAGGGACTGTGTCGATGGAGGGCAGATCGTCATCGAGTTCGTCGAAACTGGTTGGCAACTCGCGGACGTTCTCACCAAGCCGCTCGGACGTCTTCGACTCATAGAGCTGAAGGAGATGATCGACATGGAGGAGGTACAAGGGATAGCAGTAGGATTAGGGAAAGAATTGTTAGAATAATATACTGCTTTTCTTGTGTGAACACAACAAGGGAAGGCGGCGCCGAAAAGGCCCCCAGCTGTGATACTGTAGCCGCTGCAGGTGTAGGCGCCGCACGGCTCACTCAAGCAAAGATCAGAGTTATATGCGCGGAGGGTGACGCAGAGTCAGCCCTGCTGTGGTTATCTAGTTACTATTGCAGCATGTACGCTGTACTAGAACTAGATGGATAGAGTTGTATAATTAGACTACCACAGCAACTCAGTAAAGAGAGTTCAGATTTGTCATCTCCCATACAGGGCTTCGGCCAACGCTGGTGTCTTGTACTGTGTGTGTATGCTCTGTTCTCCCTCTTCTTCAACCTCTAGCCATAGTGTGTGGGGACGGACAACGCTTGTTCGTGGTCGGCTTAGCTAGTGGGTGCTCGGCAACACTAGCGGGTGCTCAGCAAGACCGGTGAGTGGTTCACTCACCTGAGTCGGTGATCCTATGGGCTAACAGTAGCATCGGACGGCTCCTGGGCTTTATAAGCAAGGAGAGGCCGTGAGGGCAGGGGAAAAGTCACGGTCTCCCGTCGACTCGTTTTACTCATCATCATCAATCATCTCGCCGCGCGCCGCAGCTAGCTAGGGTTTCGTTTCGTCGCATCAGCATCAGCTTTCGGTCGATCGATGGCGTCTTCCTCCGAGGCTGAGAAGATGAAGATGATTACGTTGAGGAGCTCCGACTCCGAGGAGTTCGAGGTGGAGGCGGCGGTGGCGGTGGAGTCGTAGACCATCCGCCACATGATCGAGGACGACTGCGCCGACAACGGCATCCCGCTCCCCAACGTCAATTCCAAGATCCTCGCCAAGGTCATTGAGTACTGCAACAAGCACGTCCACGCCGCCGCAGCGGACACCACCAACCCCTCCGGGGGCGGCGAGGACCAAGAATTGGGACGCGGAGTTCGTCAAGGTCGACCAGGCTACGCTCTTCGACCTCATCCTGGCTGCCAACTATTTGAACATCAAGGGATTGCTGGACCTGACCTGCAAGACGGTGGCTGACATGATGAATGAAGGGTAAGACTCCGGAGGAGATCCGCGAGATATTCCACATCAAGAACGACTACACCAAAGAGGAGGAGGATGAGATCCGCAGGGAGAGCCTTCGAGTAATCCCGCTCTACAATGCTATTAGTGCTAGTCTAGTTATACTAAATATATATGGTCCTAATGGTTGTATGCCTTTTAGTTATGGTTACTGTTTGGATTGGATGAATGATATAGTTGATACAATTACATTGGCGACTGAACCTCGTGGTCGGCAGTTCCCTTTCAGCCTTCCTTAGTTGTTGCTAACGCCAATGAAGTCACATAGTAATCTCGCGATCAGCACTAAGACCGCATCAGGTGTGCATGCCTGTTACCATCTCGTTTCCATGTCACTAATCCACAGCCACTCGCCCAAGGATTACAAGCCATCTACCAATAATGCAAGTTGCCAACCCAATCATGCATGTCAGTCCGATCCATCTCACTATCTTTGCCTACCTCCGATCCATTGTTTGTGGCGGTGATAAAAATTAGCACCGCATTGTTGTAATCGATCGTTTGGAATACATAAATGAGAGAAACTGTTCAAAAAGTTCTACCCTTACGAAGCTTGCAGCTGAGTTTTGTCTAACTTTTCATCGATACTCCTCCATTCCAAATTATAAAAAGTTTTGACCTCTCTGGAATCATAACTTTTGCATAGAAATGCCAAAACGTTACAGAGGAAGTAACAGATAAGATACTCATCTCCTTGTCCATCAATCATCACCGCTCTCTGTTTCACGCACAACCATTTGTCAGTTGTGAAACGCGTCGCGACTCTAAGTCTCTGGAGTCTAGACCTGATGTATAGAACGTCAGCAACCTTGGCGAATCCGATGACCAAAATGCACGTTTGTGTCAGTTTGGAACAAATTACAGTTTGATTAAAATGCACGAAATTTCATTGACGTGTTCCTGCAAAAGTTATATACATGATAACGTTCTTTTCAAAAACAGGGAGTTCATTGAGCAACCCACACCATATTGATAAATCTTTACTATAGCACGATTAAGTGCCTGTTTAGTTTCCAAAATTTTGTAAATTTTTTTTTAAGATTCCCCGTCACATCGAATCTTTGGACGCATGCATGAAGCATTAAATATAAATAAAAAATAAAACTAATTACACAGTTTAGACGAAACTCACGAGACGAATCTTTTAAGCCTAATTAGACTATGATTGGACACTAATTGTCAAATAACAACGAAAGTGCTACAGTACCATTTTCCAAAAAAAATCGCCAACTAAACAAGGCCTCAATGGCAAAATGTTGTGAATCAGGAACCACTGAATATATACTTTTGAAGAGCTCTTGTGGACGATAAATTGATTGTCTGGACTAACTTATATTAGCAAAATTAGCTAATGTTCAGCTTTCCAATGAAAGTGCTATGTTTACCTGGGACCTATACATAAATATGGTCATTTATAATATATAATCTGTGTATGAGTATACGATGAACCGGAGTGTGCCTTAATAATAGATTATTATGGAGGCTGAAGTTACCTATGAAAATCAAGATCTTTCATTGGTATCTTCAAAAGGGTGTTATTTTAATAAAATACAACTTAGCTAAAAGGGATTGATCTGATCTACAAGAATGCTGGGATCTGATTCAATGTGATGTTCAAAATTTCGAACTCCAGGAAGCTGATGATATAATCCTATGGAAATTTGAGAAAAATAGGAAATTCTCTGTGAAGTCATTATATAATGCATTGACTAAAAATGATGTTGGTCCATCCCACAAACTGATATGGAAAAGCAAAGTGCCTCAGAAAATTAAAATTTTCATTTGGCTGCTGACCAATAATGTTGTGCTAACCAAAGACAACCTTATTAGAAGAAAGTGGTCAGGCAGTCCAGTATGCCAATTCTGTGACCAAAATGAAACTGTTGGTCATCTGTTTTTTACTTGCCCAATTGTCAAAGTTATCTGGGCAGTATTTGCTAGAGTGGTTTGGGCAAATAATATACCCACATCCTTAGCCCAATACTGGAATTGGTGTGATAGATGGTTACCTGCAGGGGAAAGGTACCATATGTGGGGAGTTTCCGCCATTTGTTGGGCTATATGGAAGGGCCGTAACAAAGCTTGTTTTGATGGTGTGGTTATCAAGAACCCCATTGAGATATTATGCCACGCAGGTGCGCTAATGCGTTTCTGGACAGGTCACCACGAATGGATGGAAAAGCAATAATAGAGTTTGCTTTTGCTTTTACCCTCTTATTTATATTCTCTTTTTCCTTATTTTGTGATTAGCTGATGAGCTAAAGAAATTATGTATGAGCTTGGTTGTATGCAGTCGTTGAGGTCCAAAGTATTTCTTTTGTTAAAAAAAGATTTGATTTCAGGGAAAGCTAGCTAGTACTATAGTTCTATGCAACTTCTGAGATAGGAGAAAGTAAAGTGGTATTCAATTTTCTGCTGCTGAATAAGGCAGATCCATGATCATGCAACTTCCTCCGGAACCTGTAGACAGTCTCATCGATGCTAGGTACAAAGGCATGGAATCACTGTCACAATTAAGCCTCACCATCGTGGCCATATTATCCACAGGCAATCTTTGTTGTGGAGGGCGTGAAAGCAACCAGTACTCAATTACAAAGAAGAGGCATTATTGAGTGAATGCCAGATGCCACCTAAAAACGTCAATTACACTAAGGAATGTGAGTGATTGATGCTTGTTGTCACTTGTGAATTTGTGACCCACTTGTTACCGACGACATGACTGTTTACGCATCCTGGCATCGCATAATTGTCCCCTAGCGACTCTTGTTGTAATCAATTTTTATCAGTTACGATTTTGCTGTGGACGTTGGAATTTTTGCATATTTCAAAGAAGAAGCAATCATAGCATCTCACCGCTCCAAGTATAATCCAGAGTACTCCTTCCGTTTTAAGTTATAGATCATCTTGATTTTTCTAAATAAATAACTTTTAGGCACAATTGTCTATTGAACAACCAAAGTGATGGTCCTTTGCTGGCGGACACCCACTTTGGAGTATTTTGCCAGAAGACACTATGGTTCGATAAAATTAGGCCACATGACACCGCGGACCGGTTGCAGCCGGTTGAGGAGAGAGAACAGCGGTCAAATGACATTTTTGCCCCTGCGGCGACGCAGCCATGGGAGGTGGTGGCGCCTCGCTGGAGTTCGGCGAAGACGGCGCTGAGGGGTTCGGCCGGGCACACGAAGGGCACAGGGGCGCGGAGAGCGGCCTCGCGAACTCGGGCGCGTAGTTTGGGTCGCCGGAGCGGCGCTGCGCACGGCGGCGCGCCATGGGTGGCCGGCGTTAGCTCACCGGAGATCGGCGTCGTGGGACTACGGCGCACGGCGCGAGCCAAAAAGCGAGGCACGGCAAGTCTGGCTCGGTCTCGTGATCTCGCTGCGAGGGTTTACTGATTCTTAGGTCGGCCGGAGATCGCAGCCTGCTGACGCGCGGAGCGGAGCAGCCTTTCTAACGACGAGGGCGCGCGCGGAAGCGAGGGAGAGGGCGGGAAGGGCACCAGTGGATAGCTCACCTCGGGGAGAAGCTCACGGCGGCGGTCTCGTCGGTGGAGACACAGTGGCCGTGGAGATCGATGGCGGCGGCTCCGAGTTTGGGGGCGGCGGCTATGGCGGCGCGGCTAGGGTTAGGGGTCTAGGTGGCGGCGGCAGCTCTGCTGGGGTTCCAAAGGGGCACGGTGCTTAGGGGCAGGCCCTTTATTGGCCGCGGCGATCCTCGGGGTGCCCGCACGGGCGGATCAACGGAGGCGCGGGCATCCGCGCGATGCGGAGCGGGGAAGACGACGGCCTCCTGCAGGACGCTGGGGGGAGGAGGCATCAGCCCAGCTCGCCGTGGGCAAGCGGGCTCATTATGGCGACATCATGGCCAGGCGAGAGGAAGAAGAAAGCGGCAGGGGCAAGAATGTCATTTCACCGTTGTTCTCTCTCCTCAACCAGCTGCAACCGGTCCGCGGTGTCCTGTGGCCTAATTTCACCGAACCAGAGTGTCTTTCTAGCAAAATGCTCCAAAGTGGGTGTCCGCCAGTAAAGGACCATCACTTTGGATGTTCAACAGATAGTTGTCCCTAACTTTTTATTATGTTGAACATATAGTATATATAGGTGCATAGCGCCAAAGGATGCTAGTCCCGTTGGTCTAGTCACTCCAGAGGCACCCCCAGGTCATGAGTTCGAACTCCAGCTGGAGCGAATTTTAGGCTGAGGTTAAAAAAACTTCGTGTAGAAGTCAGGGTTCGGGGTTTTTTTCGGTCGGAACCGGAAATCTTCTCATGTCAAGTCTGGTTCGGCCTGTGGACCGTGTGTGTGCGCCTTGAGTGCCGCGCACGACCTAGGTCCGGCAGACGCCTAATACCGTGGGGACGGTCTATACCCCATCGGCCGAGTTTTTTTTTATAGATGCATAGCAAAAGCTATGTATGTATAAAAGCCAAAACGACCTAGACGAGGGCTGTATTATTTTACGGCTAGGGTCCCTGAACTGTCACTATATGAATAAAGCTATTTCTAATTATGGGAACATCCAACATATCCAACGATTACCTGCTAATGCCTTTTGGAAACTTAACCCGAAATGCATCGGTGTGTGTGTGTGTGTGTGTGTGTGTGTGTGTGTGTGTGTGTGTGTGTGTGTGTGTGTGTGTGGAGGACGTGTCGATCAGCGTGCAGGCTGATCGGCGAAGGCACCATGCCACTGCGCCGGGGAGCAGATCAGAGCAGGGTTGGGCTTCTCCAGTGGCCTGAAAAAGTGACTCTTCAAATGACGTGAAATCGAATCAAACGACTGGAGGAGTCGATGCATGCGTAGGTGAGAGAAAAGTCGACGCAAGTTCTTGAGTCGATGCAAAGAGAATTGAATAATATTTTCGCAGGCTCATTGCCTGTAGCTGTGAGAAGTTAAAAATGATTGGTGCATGGCAGTTTGTTTTTTCTCCATTTGTATATTTATGTTGTGGGGCCTATACATGCAGTGAATAGTAATTCAACAATAGAAAATGATTTTACAGACTCTCACAATCTTACGTGGCCACGGTGAGTCGACTCACCACTAGAGCTCTGTTTAGCTCCGTCACGGTAAAATATTTTTCTTTCCGACAAATTAATTATATAAATCAGTAAAGGTGATTTAGAGACTAGCCGAACAGAGCCAAAATGCCCTTAGGGCTTCTCCAGCTGCTGACAGGTTTGCTAGCCAGGAGAAGTACCTGTCCAATCACGAAGAGGTTTCATCTAGCTAGCGCCGATGCAAGCGCTGAGCTCGCACGTCTCCCAAAGTTTTCCAGGGACTGACATGTTCCTGCAATCTGCCTGTTTATTTTTTTAATAAGAGCATGTTTAGTTTCCCTTAAAACCTAAAAAATTATGCGTAGTAATTAGGCTTCCATCATCGAATTTTCCACGGCAACATGCAATTATGGATTTAATAAAATGTAAAACATTCGAAAAAATGAATCTAATTACACATATTGGATGAACTAAACACGAGATAAAACTTTTGAACCACGGCCGCTGGCGATTTGGAATCCCCTAATTTGTCAGCTGTTCAGGATGATCGACCACATGAGCCCCACGAATTATCAAATCCAAAAAATCTAAAATTTTAAGATTCTAGACAAAAATCCAAAAATGTATGGAGCTTTTAGATCTAAACGGTGCCTAACTTTTAGTCTCCACGGCCGCTGGCGATTTGGAAAGGACTGACGCCCTAATTTGTCAGCTGTTCAGAATGATCGACCACATGAGTCCCACGAAGCTTTGTTTTTATTTGATAATAATTGTCCAATTATTGATTAATTAGACTTAAAACGTTTGTCTCGTAAAGTACAATTAAACTGTGCAATTAGTTTTTGATTTTATCAATATTTAGTACTCGACCGTAAGTTTAATGTGATGGGAAATCTTTTTTTTGCATAGTGTTAAAGTTTAAATTTGGTGGAACTAAACATGGCCTAGAGTAAACCTGCAGCCAAATCCTCTGGGGAATTGCAGAGCCATCGATGATGACAATTGACAAGGATAAAAAAAACAAAAGATAAAGCAGGGTCATGAGTTGTCTTCTCTCAGCTTTCACTCTGGCTGTGCTGTGATGATTGTTGAGTGGTAGCGTAGCTTGTACCGAACGGATGAGTGTAAACTCATGCATGTCTGGTCAGGTATAATCACTATTCACCCACAAGGCCACAATCCTACCTGTTTTTTTAGTTAGGCAAAGTTTGCCCAGAGTGAAGATTCTCTGATGTAGCATTGTGTTTGTATTTGTGAATTATTATTAAAACATTGACTAATTAGACTTAAAAGATTCATATCGCAGTTAAAGCAAACTATGCAATTAGTTTTTGATTTTGTCTACATTTAGTACTCCATGCATGTACCACAAGTTTGATGTGACGGAGAATCTTCTTTTTGCATGGTGCACTTTTCAGGAGTTTGGAGGAACTAAACAAGGGCATGATCGTATCATGGCCCTCGTTCGCGTACTTTTAAACCCGGCTTGATCTGCTTCTTTTTTATCCGGAACAGTATTTTCCTCTCACAAATTCTTTCAGATTCATCCAAATTCCTTCCAGCGAACGGGGTCCATATCTTGTGTACCTATGAAAATTGAAAATCTTCGAAATACTACAGAGGCCTTGTTTAGTTCCTCCAAACTCCTGAAAAATGCACTATGCAAAAAGAAGATTCCCCGTCACATCAAACTTACGGTACATGCATGGAGTATTAAATGTAGACGAAATCAAACACTAATTGCACAGTTTGTTTTAACTTTGTGAGATGAATCTTTTAAACCTAATTAGTCAATATTTGATAATAATTCACAAATACAAACAAAATGCTACAGTAGAGAAATCTTCACTATGCAAAGTTTAGCTGTGCAAATTTTGCCTAACTAAACACCGCCAAAGGTAATCGTTGTGCTGCTATTTTACACGAAAGAAACAAACCGCAGCTTTGACAAGCCCGCTCGTTCACTCCGCTAGAAACAAAGAGAAACGACCAGAATACGCGGAACTTTCTGCCCAGCAGCCGAAGCGATTGCCAGTGCCAGCGACGGGGCGCCTCAGCGATTCCTCTTTTCGGCCGGCGCCGCTGCGGCAGGATCCGCTCGGCCTCGGCCAGCGCTTTCAATTCAAGGACCGAGCGCGACAGGACCCGGTGTCGTCCGCCTGTACCGTTCCCCCAGACCGGACCCCCACGGCGCTGTAGCCGACTGCCCAGCAAAAAGCGCAGGCCACCTCACAATCACAATCCGATTCGAGCCAGGTCAGCATCGCATTGTTGCTAGTGCCTCGTCAATTCTTATCGGGAGGTTCGCTTGATTTCACCAACCCAAACTGCCATGGCCTGAGCCTCCAAAAAACCAAAGACCACCCGGCCTACTTGTGCACAGTAAAAAAAAACTAACGAACAGGCCCCTTGTCGGGAGGAGGTTTTTACAAATGCCAACTGCCATGGCCTGAGCCCCGTGAATAGTTTACTTGTGCACAGTAAAAAAAAAGTACTTGCCACACTGCACTGTGGCCCCACCGCATGTGCCAGGAGCAAAACGTTCCCGATATATATATATATATATACACACACACGATCATTGAAGTTGCCGAGCAAAACCCCACGAGCCATCTCACGGGTTCGGGCTAGCATTGATACTGTAGCTAGCTACTGTGGATCAACCGGTCTTTATTGGTCCGATTCGCCGTGAGAAATTTGAAATTTGTGAGAGACTAAACAGTGTTTTCAGCTGTGAACCGTGTTTCTCCGGCTGATTTCCTGAGCAGCCGAACGAGCCCATTACTGTTGCATACTCCCTGCGTAGTCAATAATCAAGTCGTTTTGCCAGCGATATAGTCTCCAAAGCATAACTTTGACTACTTATTTATATAAAGATATTTATCAAAAAGTGATGTATGTAATTTTTTGTGAAAGTATTTTTCAAGACAAATCTATACATATGGTTTTTACATTTTCAAACTTCAACAACTTAAAAGTTATTCATGATTTATATTATCAATGTTTAACTCAAGTCTTGTTCAAAACGACTTCATTTATTTTTTTTAAGTAGGGAGAGAGGATACTGTACTCCCCTGGATCGTTGTTGCTGTACTATAAAATTCAAACGGAGACACGGAGGGAGTGTGCAATTCCCCTCCATATCGCCATTTGTTTAACAAGTCTGATTCAAAACGACTTCATATTTTTTTTTTTAGTAGGGAGAGAGGATACTGTACTTCCCTGGATCGTTGTTGCTGTACTATAAAATTCAAACGGAGACACGGAGGGAGTGTGCAATTCCCCTTCCAGCTCGCCATTTGCCAATCAAAATAGTACAGCGCATAGACAGTTTCTGACAAAAGAATTACTGTACTAGAAAGGATACATACAATACCACCAAAACAATCCAGAAGAGGGCACGACGAGAGCTTGCATTTTTTTATATATATAGATATTGAACAGCATGATGATATCCTAGACGACGACGATTAGACAAAGCACATCGGATCCACCCGACCATCATCCAACCAAGTACACAGCTCAGGAACAATTTGCTACTACACTAACAGTCTACTAGTACTCATAACCACTAATCCTGAATCATTACATCATCAGATCAGATCCCAAAAGCTTTTAAGAAGATCCTTCTCCGGGCTCCACCATTAACAAAGACCAGCAACCTTCACTCGTCCCATGCATCCACCATTGCTCGCTCCATTAGGGTTGGGTTAATTAGACACGAGGCTACAAGTAACCATAACTGATTAGCACTAACTTGACGACTAGGACGACTGCGGCGAGCCGCCACCACTCGCCGTCGACGGTTGGACGCGGAAGTAGTCGGCAGCGTCGGTGGCGGCGCCGTTGATATTGAAGTCCGCGTGGACAGGGGCCGGTGGTGGAGCGGCGTGGGCGGAAGGGTGGTGGACAGCGGCGGCTGGTCCTGGGGCGGCGGCGTGGGAGGAAGAAGGGTACACAGCACCGGCGGCGTCGGACGGATGGTGGTGGATGGCCGCGGCGTTGGCCGTGGCAGCAGCAGCAGAGGCCGAGGCGCTGCGGCGCGCGCTGTGGCCGCCGACGAAGTTGTGCTTGTTGTTGTGCATCCAGACCTTGAAGACGCCCTTGGTGACGCCCATCTCCTGGCAGCACTCGTCCACCACCGCCTCGTCGCGCTTCTGCAGCCGCCAGCCCAGCCGCTCCGACAGGGCCTGCATCCGCTGCTTCTGCTCCGGGCTGAACTTGGTGCGGAACCGCTTCCTCGCCGCCGCGGCACCGCCGGGAACAGTTCCGGGCGCCGCCGGCATCGGGCCCAGGGAAGAGGCGGGCGGCGGCGGCGGCGGCCTCGGCGCCGCCGCGGGGGTTTGGGCGCCCGGGCTCGGCGCGCCGGTGCTCAGCGCGAGGAGCATGTGCGGCGCGGCCTGCTGGCGGTAGCCGTGCGGCGGCGCCAAGGCCGGCGCCGACAGCGGGCGGTCCTCGTCGAAATCCGAGCCCTCGTCCGACTCCTCCTCGGTCTCCTCGTCGAAGGCGGCCGGCAGGCGGTCGTCCGGTGCCTGCTCCTCGCCGCGCATCGTGCGGCTATCACGCATGACGTGCGACGCGGCAGCAGCCGGTGCCGGCGGCGGCAGCAGCTCGGCGAGCCGGCGGTGGAAGTTGCGGTGGCATCCGCACGCGGCGCACCTGAGCGAGCTCGGGTCCGCCGGGTCGGCCTCCGGCGACGGCATGAACTCGCCGCACCCGTCCAGCGCGTGGCCGCCCAGGCTCGCCGCGTGGTTCTTGAGGCACTCCCGGTACACCCCCGTCTCGCCGCCGGCCGCCGGCGCCCCGAGCCTCGTCTTCTTGGCCGCCGCGGCCACGCCGCCGTTCGGGAACACCGGCTGGTACTTGAGGTCCGCCACCGCCTCCATCCTTTCCCTCCCTCCCGCCCACCCGCCCGCCCCTCTCTCCAAGACGGCGTCACCACTGCTTGCAGCGGAGCACGCCCCCACCACGGAAGATTACCGCTTGCGCCTGACAGGGACAAAGGACGAGGACGAGGGGAGAAAACTACAGGTAGGGATGTGAAGAGAGGCGAGGAGATAAGAATGAAGCGAGCCAACGAGAGTGATGAGAGTGAAAGAGAAATGAGTGAAATAAATACACGAATAATTAGCGTGGATGACTAATTCATGTTCTAAAGTTTTATAGGATGTCATGTCGGGTGGTGTTTGATACAGATAAAAAAACAAATTACAAATCTATTAATTAATATGTTTATCAAGCCTAATTAATATGTTATTAGCACATATGTTAATGGAGCAAATCAAATCATAGACTAATTAGGTTTAAAAGATTCATCTTATAAATTAATCATAAATTATATAATTAGTTATTTTTTAATCTATATTTAATAGTTATTGTATATGTCTAAACATTCGAGGTAACGTGATCTAAACTTTAGACGTAAGAAAAATATATTTTATGTACTTGAAAAGAAGAAAGAAAAGGGAGACGAGACGAGAGAAGGCTATGTCATTACTGTATCATCAGTTGTGGTAGTTATGTGCGAGGGGAGGGTACAAGTGTCCAGTGGTCAGGCCACGTTTTGAGCTGCGAGGCATCGGGCATCGACCAGTTCATTTGGACGTGGTTGGTGGTAAACTATCAGTAAATTTTAATTTAAAATTATATTTTTCTCTTAAATTATCTAATAATAATTTTTTATAATCAACAACAAAATGAATCAGCCAATCAAACAGATTGCGTGGCGTAGTGGCAGGGCTAGGCATGCTTTGCCTGACGGAATAGGGATCAGACTAGCAGTACCAAGCACGTAGCATAGGCCTGGGAATCACAACATCACATGAGACGAGTCAGGCTCCAGGACAGCACGCGTGAGCTGGGTCTTGTTTACACTGGATCTAATAATTAGTATTTGATACTATAACATTTTCGTTTATATTTAATAATTATTGTCTAATTATAATTTAATTAGGCTTAAAAGATTCATTTCGTAATTTACAATTAAATTATATAATTAGTTTTTTTTTATCTACATTTAATACTTCATGCATGTATCCACTGATGACGCTGCACGATGCTGCTCATTGCACACTGATGATGCGCCGCAGTAGTTGGGACTGGGGGCAATGACGTATGATCGTTGATCGGGCACCTCTGAATCGTACGGCCTGAGTGCCTGTGTTCTTTCTTCCGTTTTTGAAATGTTCTTCCAAAAAATTTTAAGATTCTTCCGTTTTAAATATAGGTAAAAAGAATAGCTGAAAAACCTTATTATAATTGGACATTTTTTGCCAAATACAAACGAAAGTGCTACAATAGTCAAAAGCAAAAAAATTTCACATCTAAACGGAGCCTTATTTAGGCTTGTACGATGCACCTCATCCCCTTGCACTTGTGTTTTGGTAAGATGCATCCACCATTCTCTAATGTTTGTCTGGCTAATTGACAGACCTTGCTCATTATGTGAGAGTCCCATTTGCTATCATAGCCTTTTGGCATAACTCTCCTAAAAAAAGCCTTTTGGCATAACTGCATTTAGCCATCATGTGCAGATGAGTTTCTTGTCTGCAGTGACACAATTTGCAAATTGGGTCTGTTTGTCTTCCCTTTTGATGATTTGATCCGTTGTTGACAACTTTCATCGAAGCAACAACCATATGAAGAAACGACAGTTTGGCTCCATTTTAGTTTCCATACATTGCACCAATTTTGGTCTAGAAAAGTCCCCAGTAACTACGCATTGTATGCTAATCTTGCGGATCTCCCTTAGGATCGAATCTCCAGAAGATATGGCGCTGTTTGCTTTGCTGAAAAACCATGACTGAAAGTATTGTTCGCTGATTTATCGTGAGAGAAAAACGGGCTCTTATTACCCATGCCCAACGCCCCTCTACCCCTCCGCCGCCAAGCGAGCTGGCCTCGACCCGGCCGACGCCGTGGTCGCCAACCGCGCCCCATGGCATGGCCGTGCGCCTCCTGGCCGGCCGCGCCTGGACGCGCGCCACCGCGAGCCCGGGCACGCCTCCCTGCTCGCGAGCTCCGCCTCCCCGTCCACGAGGCCATGGCCGCGAGCTCCGGTGACGCCGAGCCCTTCTCGCGAGCTCCGCCTCCTCTGCTTGCGTGCGATGTGCTCTGCTCTGATAGGAAGAGGAAAGAAGAGCTGACGTGCGGGTCCGGGCTGGCAGTGAGATAGAGAGAGCACCAGTGCCAAGGACAATTTTAGCTATTCCAACGAAAATAGTCTTGTGTGGATCCAGAGCTGCTGCATTTGCTAAATAGTTCACTGATAGATCCACGGTGGATCTAATCCACGGTAAATCCTAAATCTATATTCACTTTTTCAGTGGTTTATCCCTGCCCTAGATATTTGTGTTTGGACGTTGGTGTGTGCCCTGTCCATTGCCCAACGACATGTCTAAACTAAATATGGAAAACCGTTTGCTTCTAGTACACTCCGTATTACGGCATCACACCATTGCGAATTTGCGATACAATCACGTCACTTTCTAAAAGATACTACTGCTATGTGAACATTAGTATTGTGTGGAACACACGTTACATACTTGGAGCTTTCGATCCCCACCATCATTGACCATGGACAAATCGTTTGGCCTCCGCCCTGATTTTTTGGGAGCACGCATGCAATTGACATGTTCAATGGGAGCCTACCTACAAATAACTAGTCACGGAAGACGAAACGATAGGTCTAACAAACACATAGCCATCCTTCTAGGATCAGCATGCACATATCCAACGCAAAGGTCGTCGAGATCCATGGAAATTATGAACCTGATGAGGAGGTGTCGTCCTTCGATACTGAATCACCAGCTATCACCACCTTCTTGTACGATGGTTCCTGAGGATGCAGAATGGTGAACTGAATTTGAATCTCTGGCGTGTTGTTTTGCTCCGTGGTGGTGGTGGAGACTAGAGAGGAAGATGCAGCCATTGCCGCCGCCTGAGCACCGGAGGGTTCTCCGTTTCGTGGTCTTCATGGCCGTCTCCCTCCTGGCCCTCTCCTGCTGGGCGCTCGTCAATTCCAGGATCAACGTCGCCATGCCTTACTCTGCCTTCGTGATGCGCGACGTCGTCGACAAGACGCCAGCGCTCACCGGCCTAGAAGACTGGCACCCCGCCGCCGGAGACCCAGCGTCGACCTCGGCGCCAGCGGCCGTGCCGGTGACCAGTAACGCCACGGCGGCGGGCTCGGTGAAGCTGAGCGGTCCGGTGATCTGGGAGCCGCCGCTGGCAGGAGAAGGGGAACGGGAACGGGAACGGAGCGAGAGGTGCGACGCGGACAGCGCGGCGCTGAGGGTGTACGTGTACGACCTGCCGGCGGAGTTCCATTTCGGCATGCTGGGGTGGGACGGGAAGGGGAAGCCGGCGGCGTGGCCAGACGTCCGCGACGCCCGCGCCGCGCCGCACTACCCCGGCGGGCTCAACCTGCAGCACAGCGTGGCGTACTGGCTCACGCTGGACATCCTGTCCTCCGCGCTGCCGCCCGGCAGCGACGTGGCCGTCAGGGACAGCAGGCCCTGCGTCGCCGTCAGGGTGACGAACGCGAGCCTCGCCGACGTCTTCTTCGTGCCGTTCTTCGCGTCGCTGAGCTACAACCGCCACTCGAAGCTCCGCCGCGGGGAGAAGGTGAGCAGGAACAGGGCCCTGCAGGCCGAGCTGGTCAAGTACCTGATGCGCAAGGAGGAGTGGAGGCGGTGGGGCGGCAAGAACCACCTCATCGTGCCGCACCACCCCAACAGCATGATGGAGGCGAGGAAGAAGCTCAGCGCCGCCATGTTCGTGCTGTCCGACTTCGGGAGGTACTCGCCGGACGTCGCCAACCTCAAGAAGGACGTCATCGCGCCGTACAAGCACGTCGTCCGCTCCTTCGGCGACGGCGACTCGCCGACGTTCGAACAACGTCCCATCCTGGCATACTTCCAAGGGGCCATCCATCGGAAAGCTGTAAGAGCCCTCTGTTCTGTTCTCGTCGCGAGTAAAGATCGCATTCCTGGAAGCTTTTGAGGTCTCAGCAGACCGACCGGCCGGCCGGCGTTTCAGGGCGGGAAGGTTCGGCAGAAGCTGTACCAGCTGCTCAAGGACGAGCGCGACGTGCACTTCACCTACGGCAGCGTCCGGCAGAACGGCATTCGGCGCGCCACCGCGGGGATGTCCACGTCGAAGTTCTGCCTCAACATCGCGGGCGACACGCCGTCCTCGAACCGCCTCTTCGACGCCATCGTCAGCCACTGCGTCCCGGTCATCATCAGCGACGACATCGAGCTGCCCTTCGAGGACGTGCTCGACTACTCGGAGTTCTGCGTGTTCGTGCGCTCCGCCGACGCCGCCAAGAGGGGGTTCCTGCTGCGGCTGCTCCGGGGCATATCGCGCGACGAGTGGACGAAGATGTGGATGAGATTGAAGAAGGTGACTCGCCACTTCGAGTACCAGTACCCTTCGCGGTCAGGTGATGCTGTCCAGATGATATGGAGCGCAGTGGCGCGGAAGATGCATTCGGTGCAGCTGCAGCTTCACAAACGCGGTAGATTCCAGAGGACGGGTTCGGAATCATGAAGCTCCACAAGCGCGGTAGTCTGAACCTACGTGGACGTAGCAAGATTCATCAGTTGATCAATAAACTTTTAGATTCTGTTTGGTTGAAGGATCGTTACACAAACAGAATCGTTGTTTACTTGGCGTCTCGGCTTGGGCACCCCCAGATTTTGGCAATCAAGCTCGCACATGCGCACTCCCTTCGCTGTTTGCTCGATGTTGTGTCAGGCGCAGCCGAGTCCTCGATGAACACATTGGCTTCCATTTGCAGCATTGGCAACCATCGCCGCCTCTCACACCCACGAACGTTGTCACGTCCGTCTCCGGTAGCCATGGACATGCATACTGATATGAC